CCCAGAGTATATATCTGTGTATCAATCTACTAGAAACATTTCCATAGGTTTTTATCAAGCCTTTATTTGCCCCTGTAAATTACAAAGTGCTTGGCATGTAATTAGTGCTTAATAAATGCTTGTTAATGGACTGACTTGTTATTAACTCTCCATTTCAAAGCTTAAAATACATTGGCTGTCAACTATATTTGCCAGATGGGGGTTCCAATTCCTTTCTTTCTTTTTATTTTTGACTAGGCAATGGGGTTAAGTGACTTGCCCAGGGTCACATAGCTAGTAAGTGTTATATATCTGAGGCTGGATTTGAACTCAGGTCCTCCTGAATCCAGGGCCGGTACTTTATCCACTGCGCTAGCTGCCCTGGGTTGCAACTTTCAATAGCCTCACCTTTTAAAAAGCATTTTTATGAATTTCCTTCTTAATTAATTATACTACCAAATGAAGATATTGTCCAAACTTTGCATTTTTAAAAAATATTTTTTCACATAGTTAAAAAAAAGAGAAGAATCATGCTTATCGAACTGTTTGTTTATTGATTTGGTTTTTTGCATTATGCAATTTAGAATGTGTTTACCCATACAATAGAAGGCCAGCTGAGCAGATGTTTAGTTATTTGGTTTAATTTATTGGAAAATAGGATTGCTTTATCAGATCCCAGTGTCTCTTCTCCTCTTATGCTTGACTGACAATTTGAGTGTCACAGTTAATGTAGAGATGGTTGAGGGGAAGTTTGCTTTGTCAGCAGGAGTAGACTGTAAACTGAGCTGAGAGGGACCTAGGTTCACCTCAGCATGACCTCCTGATCAGCGATGGGTCTTGTCAGTGTCAGTAAATTTGGCTATGTTACTTCTCATGCTACCGAAGTCTGCTTAGAAAATAGCATCCCAAGCAGGACTACTGCTTGTATTAGAGATATTATGTATTATTACTGTTGATAATTACAGCATCCATACAGCATCCTCAAAAGAAGATTTTTGCAGAAACCGAGTGCTGTTTTTCTAAGTAAGAATCAGAAATTAAAAATGGCACTTTTATGGCATTTATACAAATGATAAGAAGGATAAATAGCATGCTCTTTTATAGCTATTCACATCCTGTGTTTGATGTTTTCATTAATAAACAAGATATATTATTGAAGTAATCAGAAATTAATAGACATATTTTCTGTGATGTTACTATTATTGTATTATCCAATTTTCTAAAAGCCACTTTCAGTCTTTAATCAGCTATTGAATATTTGCTTGTTCTGTGTTATTTTCTTTTCTCTGTCTTCATATTGGTATCATCCTATCAAGATTCCATTTTAAATTCATAGCATGCATTTAGATTGCTTTTGTATAAGTTCAGAGTAATTCTTTCCCTGAAGGTGCGAAATGATCTTAGAGAGAAATCTGATAATAGTCCGGAGTTCTGGGCTACGTTATGATTGGGTGATGAGGGGAAAAGGCAAGACATGCTTGAAAACCTTTTGTCCTTATAGTCTTCATTTAATGTGGTTCTAGCCACTACAGCTACAACTTGTATAATAATAATCTTCCTTTGGCACAGTGCAGGTTGTCTTGTTCAAAGTATACTCATTACAAGTTTAATCCATCTTTGCCTACAATATATTTTCTTATTAAGGTAATTTAATGGAGTACATTGTTAGCTTTACTAGGACCATATTAAAATTAATTAAATTAAATTAATAAAAATTAAAATTTTTAAAAATCTCCATGAATACACTAACATTTTTGTAACATTCAACATGATATGATTTTGTACCAATAGGCATATTATTCATTCAACAAATATCAGCTGTGTGTCAGATACTGTGCCAGGCATTTGAGATACAAAGACGTAAAACAGTCCTTGCTCCCAAGTAATCTATATTCTATTGCTACAGTTATAGCTTTGATCACTGAAGAGTGAATACATATAAATCTAAAATCTATTTGTAGATTATATAATCTATACAAATATATAGATTATATAATCTATACAATATATATGTATACATATATTATCTATTATCTTTCCATCTAGATCATATAAAGACAATTGTTCCCTTTAAATTCTTCAAGTAGCTCCCCAGAGTTACCTTGGAATATTAAAGGGATGATTATTGTTGTTGTTGTTGTTGAGTTGCGTCTGACTCTTTGACTCCATTTGGAGTTTTCTTGATAAAGATACTGGAGTGGTTTGCCATTTACTTCTCCAATTCATTTTACAGATGAGGTAACTGAGGCAAACAGGGTTGTGACTTGCCCAGGGTCACACAGCTAGTAAGTGTCTGAGGCCAGATTTGAACTCAAGAAGAGGAGTCTTCCTGACTGCAGGCCCGGCATTCTATCCATGCCACCTACCTGCCCAGAATGGATGATTTGTTACCCTTTGAACCTAGTCAAGATATTAGAGATCATCACTGAATATAACTACTGTTTAAATACTGAAATGAGAGAACAAATTATAGTGGACCCAGAGAAAACGCTCTTCCTACACCCTTTGTTTGCTATTAATTTTATCCCAAAGGACTCCTTAAAAAGATTGAAAACTACCCTTGAAAGTACTTTTACTTCTTTGCAGATACCTTACAGCTTCTGGGAAATTTAGCTAATCCATTTTTCTTATGAGATCTGAGAGATTAAGTGACTTGCCTGTGGTCATAGATTTAGTCATTGGGATTTCTACATAGGTTTTCTGACTCTAAATCCAGCACTCTCTAGACAAAGCTGTAATTGCACAGTAATTTAAATGATTTATGAATTCTTTACCTAGGTATTTACTACACAGATGCAGATCACATCTATTTTAATACTTAGTAGTCTGTGGCTTGGAGTGCTGAGATCAAAAGAATCCATTACCTTCTTGGCTAACCTGGTGTTGTTGAGCCTGTCCAAAATTAGTGAAGCTAGTCCTTGGACAAGAAACCTGGTTTAACATTCTGAATAGGAGATTAAAACTATATGCTGCTAAAGCCTGCTAAAATCATTTCATATTTTTTTTAACTATTTGTTGGCTTAAATAGGAACTTAAGTAGTGAAAGACTTTTTATTTAATCAGCCCTAGGATTTAAAAGAGCAGCAACCATAGGGAGTAATTTTGGACACATGGAGCAAGTGAACAATACTTTGCTAGTCTGTTAATATAATTTGTTATTCTCACAGATAAAGAATATGGGTTCAAACTTTTCTTCCATACAGCTTTAAATTTTTTATTTAAAAAAGCAAAATTAATTCCATTTTCAAAATTAAAAAAAAATTTCCTTTCAATCTTGATGTGGAAATGTTATTGCTAATATTTACTTCTTTCATCTTTGAGATTATTGAGCTTCTGCAAATCCCTTTCTGTGCTTTTTTTTTAAAGAAATAAATATCTAAGAACACTGGAATTTGGGAGTAAAAACACTTAGATTCTATATTGTCCTTATCTCTGTCTATGTAACCTAAAGCCACTTTCAGAAAGGTCAGTGACTTGCCCCCCATGACTTTGGTAGTATCAGAGTAAGAATTTGAGCCTACTTTTTCGTCTGCCTCCTAGTCCAGAACGTTTTATTACTGGGCCGTGTATCCTGCATGATGTGATATAGTCATAAATTGCACAATCCAGTCATGAAATCAAACTGTATTATGATTGATGATGAGAATAGGGATTAATTTAAGTAAGAAAAAGGGATTAAAAAAATAAAAAGAGAAAGGGAATACTTCCCTTATCTTTGTTACTTTATCTTGAATTTCAAGTTGTGTCTGATTTTGGATACGTTGTTCTAAAATTGATAAGTTAGACTTGATAAGTTAGACAGTGTTGGGAGATACTGAACATTTTTAGATTACATGAGTAGTATTTAATAAATATTTTAAGGGCTCTAGGGCATGTATAAATTATTATTTTTTTTTAAATCTTCTTAAAATACTTTGTATTGCCTTCACAGATCTGTATTGGAGCATGTTGATGTATGTATATGTGTATCTATGTGTGTATGCATATATACATTATATGTTTCCTGAGGATTCTGACAATATTTGCTTAAACACAGACACTTAATAAATGTTTATTGATTGAGTAGAAACCATTCCTACACTTACTGAGAAGATTTTTCAAAGTAAAGCTAATAGTATTTGGGGGCAGGAGATGGATCTGGACCTATGATTTCATTGGTGAAAGCAGCTTCTAATAAGGCTACACTTTGTGCCAAAATAGAACCCTTGTCTATAACTAATAGTCTTAGAAAGTTAACTTGGGCCTTGAGGTTAAATGACTTACCCAGATTCACATAACCATTATCCATCGGAGGTGAGTATTTAGATCCAGATCTGCCTGACTCCCAGGCCTGTTCTTTCTCCTTTGTATTATGGCAGAGTGTATGTTGTGTCATATTTGATCCTATCCTTAGTGGGTATAGGGCGGGCCTTGGAACTAGAATGGCCTGTGTGACCCTACATAAGTCACTTAACCCCTTTGTGCTATTTCTAAGACTCCAAGTTTTAGGGAAGGTACCCACCTGCCTTAGTAAAGGAAGTTTCCTCATCTGAGAATTCCCTAAAGCTAGAAAATCATAAGTCTAGTTCTTATCCCTATCCTATCCCGAAGGTGAATTTCTCAGTTTCATTGAGGTTGTTAATATTTCTGTTTTGCACATGGGCAAACTGAAGAGTTACAAGGTGACTTTCAAATAGTCACTTGCCAACATGCAGTTATAGTAACAGAGTCCAGGATACCAAACTGTCTGTTATAATTTCTACATCTTTCCTTTTTTAAAGTCAATTGTTTTTATTGCTCAACCTTAGAGAGTAGATGATTAAAATGTGTATATCATATGTTATTTTAATAGAGCTAAACTGTGAATAACTTTGTCTGTATCTGGCTGGTTACTTTGAAAACTGTTGCATGTTTGTGTTATTCCTGTCTAGCAGTAAAAATAATAGGATCGTTTTTAAAAAAACTGTTTAAAGATGTCATTTTGATGTAATGTGTTCTCAACCATTAAAATGGCTTGCATTTTAACTTGACATTTATTCTAGCTATCCATCAAAAACTGGAAGCGGATGGAACAGAAAAAGTAGAAGGATCTATGACGCAAAAACTGGAGAATGTTCTGAACAGTAAGTGTTATTCTCCTACCAGAAGCTATCTATGGACTTTGTAAAAAACTTTAATATATTTCTTTGACTTTGCTTCATAGTAGTAAGCACTAAGTTGCATTTTAGGGTTTATTTCAGCATAGTATTGATGTAATGAAGAAAAAGGAATTAAAATACTTTTAAAGTGGGTATTTACATTCTGACATCATTTTGTGATAGGTCTGGACCTATGATTTCATTGGTGAAAGCATAATTTTAAAAAAAAGTTCAAAAAAGTAAAAGTGATGTCATGAAAGAAGTTGATATAAATAGCCTTCTTGTTTTTGATCTAATGAAAAGATATTCATGTTTCTGTTTTTCTTAAAAGTTTCATCTTTTATATCACTGCATTCAATACAGTAGTTTCTACGTATATCAAGTAGCTGAAAGATTTAGATAAACAATCCCAAGTTCAGTTCCTGGCTGAAATAAGATACTCCAAATTTTCATTCTGGGTCTTGATACTTTCCACCCAGTTTTTTATTCTCTCCTGCTCTAAGACTGGACTTTGACTAGACTTCTGAACAACCTAGGTAAATACAGAGACAACCCTTAGGTATCTTTATAAGTTAGGTGAAATTTTTAGTCCTTCCGTCTCCCCACTTTCATTCAGTGTCAGGTATCTAGATATGGATAGACCAGTGAATGAATGAATTTCAGGTATTAGCTACCTAATACTATTTTTTTTTTTACTAATTGGCATTTATTTCACCTATTCATTTAGGGTTTTAGATATCTTTTTTTTTCACAATGTTTTAAAATTTCCCAAAATGAAATTTCTGTATTGACTTACAGGTTCTTGTCTCTCTTTTTTTTTTAATTTTTTTAATATAAATTTATTTATTTTTAGTTTTCAACATTTACTCCCACAAGATTTTGAGTTCCAAATTTTCACCCCATCTTGCCCCTCCCCCAACCCCAAGATGGCATGCATTCTGAATACCCCTTCCCCTAGTCTGCCCTCTCTTCTACCTCTTCCCCCCTTCTCTTATCCCCTCCCTTCTATTTTCCTGTAGGGCAGGATAGACTTCTGTACCCCATTTCCTGTATTTCTTATTTCCCAGTTGCATATGAAAGCATTTTTTTTTAAACATGTGTTTTTAAAACTTTGGGTTCCAGATTTTCTCCCTTCTCCCTCCCACCCACCCTCATTGAAAAGGCAAGCAACTCAATATAGGTTATACATGTGCAGTTATGCAAAACACTTCCATAGTAGACATGTTGTGAAAAACTAACTCTATTTCCCTTAATCCTATCCTGCCCTCCCATTTATTCTATTCTTTCTTTTGACCCTGTCCCTCCTCAGAAGTATTTGCTTCTGATTACCCCCTTTCCCAATCTGCCCTCTCTCTTCATCCCCCTGCTCTCTTGTCCCTTCTCCCCCTATTTTCCTGTAGGGTAAGACAGATTTCCGTACCCAATTGAATGTGTATGTTATTCCCTCCTTAAGCCAAATCCTATGAGAATAAGATTCACTCATTCCCTCTCACCTTCCCCTGTTTCCCCTCCACTGTAAGAGCCTTTTCTTTTCTGTTTTTTTGTGAGATAATTTACCCCATTCTACCTCTCCCTTTCTTCTTCTCCTAGCATAATCCTCTCTCATCCCTTAATTTTATTCTCCAGATATGACCCCTTAATCTTCAACTCACCCTGTGCCCTCTGTCTATCTGTCTATCTATCTCTATCTATCTATCTATCTATCTATCTATATACATACATATAATTTTTTCCTCCAACTACCCTAATACTGACAAAGGTCTCATGAGTTATAAATATCATCTTTCCATGCAGGAATGTAAACAGTTCAACTTAATAAGTCTCTTATGATTTCTCTTTCCTGTTTACCTCTTCATGTTCCACCTGAGTCTTGTATTTGAAACTCAGATTTTCTATTCATCTCTGTTCTTTTCATCAAGAATGCTTGAAAGTCCTCTATTTCACTCAGTTTTGCTGGTTCTTGGTTGTAATCCTATCTCCTTTGCCTTCCGGAATATTATATTCCATGCCCTGTCCTTTAATGTAGAAGCTGCTAAATCTTGTGTTATCCTGATTGTGTTTCCACACTTGAATTGTTTCTTTCTGGCTGCTTGTAATATTTTCTCCTTGACCTGGGAACTCTGGAATTTGGCTACAATATTCCTAGGAGTTTTCCTTTGGGGATCTCTTTCAGGAGGAGATCTGGGATTCTTTCAATTTCTATTTTGCCCTCTGGTTCTAAAATCAGGGCAGTTTTCCTTGATAATTTCTTGAAAGATGATGTCTAGGCTCTTTTTTTGATCATGGCTTTCAGATAGTCCAATAATTTTTAAATTCTCTCTCCTGGATCTATTTTCCAGGTCAGTTGTTTTTCCAATGAGATATTTCACATTGTCTTCTATTTTTCATTCTTTTGGATTTGTTTTACAGTGTCTTGATTTCTCATAAAGTCACTAGCTTCCAATTGCTCTATTCTAATTTTTAAGGAAGTATTTTCTTCAGTAATCTTTTGGACTTCCTTTTCCATTTGGCCAATTTTTCTTTTTAGGGCATTCTTCTCATTGGCTTTTTGGACCTCTTTTGCCATTTGGGTTAGGCTATTTTTTAAGGTGTTATTTTCTTCAGTATTTTTTTGGGTCTCCTTTAGTAAGCTGTTGACTTGTTTTTCATGGTTTTCTTGCATCACTTTCATTTCTCTTCCCAGTTTTTCCTCTGCTTCTCTTACTTGCTTCTCAAAATCCCTTTTGAGCTCTTCCAAGGCCTGGCACTGATTCATATTTTTCTTAGAGGCTTTGGATGTAGGAGCTTTGACTTTGTTGTCTTCTTCTTGGTATATATTTGATCTTCTTTGTCACCAAAGTAAGAAAATATAATATGACTCTTTTTGCGCTGCTTGCTCATGATCCCAGCCAGTTACTTGAGTTTTAAACTCTTTGTTAAGGTAAGAGTCAGCTTCCAGTGTGGAGAAGGTACCGTCCCAAGCTTCGGGGGTTTATTCAGCTGTTTTCAGAGATGCTTGTAGGGACCTGTACATTTTCAGTTCTTGCAAGGTGGTATGATAAGGGGTGAGGTGTTTACTCCTTTCCTGGCCTGTGCTCTGGTCTATTAGTGACCACAAGCACTCCTTTCTGTCCTGGAACTGTGAGGAGGGTTTTCTCTTCACTGCCACTACAAGGTCTACCACGCCAGCACTCCTCCTCTCCCCAGGAACTCTGCCCAGAACTGTGACCCAGATCCAGGCGTGGGCAAAGCAAGAGTTTCCTGCCTCAGCACTGCAAAGAGATCCTTGCAATCTCCCTCTGATCAGCCTCTGGATTCCTCCTCAGTCTGTGGGCCAGAAGCTCAGGAGGCATCCACTGCCCTGGGCTGTGCCTGGGGAATGGAGCTGAGACAACGTCGTTCTTTCTCAGTACCACAGAAACAGACTTTTCCCACTGACCTTCACGCCTTTGGCATTTGTGGGTGAGAAGTCTGGAAACCGCCATAGCTGCCCACAATTCAATCCTCCGAGGCCTGCTCCAGGTTCTTTGAGGCCTGCGCACCCACGCTGCACTGCGCTCTTCTACTAGCCCTGCACAATATACCTTTCTGATCAACCATCCAGGTTGTCTTAGCCTGGAAATTTGCTTTACTCTGTCTTTTTGTGGGGTTCTGCTGCTTTAGAATTTGTTTAGAGCCATTTTTTATAGGTGTTTGGAGAGGTTTGGGGGAGAGCTCAAGCAAGTCACTGCTTTCACTCCGCCATCTTGGCTCTGCCCCCAGGTTCTTGGCTCTTGAATTTGAAGACTTGACTTCATGCTTATTGAGGTATATACCTTGGGAATTATTTCCCTTTTTTTTCCCTTTTGTTTGAGCCCTGGATCTTCAGTTCTTTCATTATCCGTTCCTGACAACCATAGGACATTTTTTGTTTCAGATATACATGGATGGGAGGAGTGATTCTAGAGTGGATGCTACATTAATATAATTGATTATATTACTGAATATTTCAAAATCTGCCTGCTCTACTGCCTTCCTTCTAAGAATACCTTCCATCTTTTCTATATATATTTTCTATGTACATAGTTATATACAAATTAGAATATGAGCTTCTTGAGGGCAGGGACAGTGTTTTTGTCTGTCTTCCTTTGTGCCTAGGACAGTAAATGTCATGTAGTAAGGGCATATTGGATGCTTGTTGACAGACCCCAGGAGATACTTATTAATTAGAACACTTTGAGTTTAAATTTTTAATTTTTGGACTTAACTAATATTTATAAACTTATTTTTCTGTTTTTTTCAATGATTTCAGCTGTAAGAATTCACTTATCTTATATATTATGTGGTTAAATAAAAAGGTTCTCCATGAAAATTTATCAAAGCTATTTCTACAGTAGCATTTGGGTTTTTTTGAAAATATGTTTTATTGACATCATTTTTCATTTACATTACAGTAATTTTACTTAACCTCTCTCTCCAGATTCAGCCCCTGTTTATGATACACAAACACAATTAAGTAAAGAAATTCATCGTGTACAATATTCTGTCTAAGTGGTCCTTTACCTTTCTGCTGTGGGTATATAGATGGGGATTAGGAAGGCGTGTTTTGTTATCTGTTTTCTAGAATGGTACTTGCATTTGTTTTTTAGTTACTCAAAGTTTAACTTTTAATGATCTTTTCATTGTGTTCACTCTATACCTTGTTCTCTTGGTCTTTCTTATTTTGCTCTACATCTTTCCAAATTTTTCACAATTCCTTGTATATATCATTCTTACTGTATAGTAATATTCTGATACATTCATATACATATATCCGTTTTTTCAACTATTCCTCATCTCTCTATATGTGTGTATGCATGTGTGACTTTAGTGTTTTTTTTTTATTTTAGAGTTTTTGCTTTCTTGGAGTATATAACCAACAGTAGAGTCACTGAGTGAATAGATATAGATAGTTTAGTCACTTCTCTTGCTTAATTTCAAACTCTAGAGTGGTTGAATTGCTTCATAATACCTCCACCAATGTATTA